ATTATAATGGAACAGACATGGAAACTTGTCATATTGACACAAATATGATTGACACTCAACAGATTGAATCACGTAATATCCTCTAGAGAACTGACTTATGATTAATGATAAGCCATGTTATGTTCAATCCCTCAATCCCCGTATTCTATAAATAGATTCGTGTTTGTTAATACAATAATGTAATATATTAAGTATCATAAGCAGTGTCTATAAATAGATACATGTGCCAATGTCATATGTTGATTGTTTGACTTTTGCTTTAAAAGAAGGAAAAAACGATGATCAGCAATGGTTCTCCTTTCATTCTGTAATATTCATCTACAAGCCTTAATATCTCGAACAATGTCAAGGCTGTGTAAATGTTTGGTAGTTCACGATTCTTGTCGTATATCCTTTTTAACATTTGATTAAGTCAATCAATACAAAAAACAACAGTCCTGTTACCATACAACTATATGCTGATCATTGTTCTGTTATTAAGTTGATAAAGAAAAGACAAATCGTTTCTTTCTTGTTACATAGCGTGAAATAGATGCCTCTTAACCATGAGCGTGCACCTGTGTCGAGTGTTGAGAACCTCTCAATTTGAAGAGATTTGTATGGAACTAACGGCGGTAAAACAGAAGCATATAGAACATGGCGACCCACTACTTTTTCGACCTCGGATGTATTAATAGCAAATAATATATAGATATTGCGATCATATTTATATTATAGCTTTTAAAGAGCCTTATTTTTAGCGGTTACTGCGAAAGAGTCATATTTTAACTTTAAGTTGAATGTTATGTTTTATAAAGTGCAGACATGTTAATTAATTTAAGTAACAGCGAAGGCAGCAATCGAAATTGTATAATGCTATAAACGACATATGACACTAAAACGTAAATGAGATTTGAAAACGAATAGTATTCGATATAACAGAGATACTTTCCATTTATATTATATTTCATTACCACAGATATGTTTTTTTTTCTTGCAATACTCTCATACAGTATTAAACATGGACGATTACGATATTATTGTTACCAATTCGTTTATTTGAATATTCCTTTTCTGTAGAAGTGGTGTCAATATTGCCACAATTGACGCATGTGAATCTGTATAACAATTATTTTGTAATGGTCATAAGGTATTTCCGCTCTAAAGTTCAGGAAATAATTTCGTTTTTTTAATGGAAAAAAACTTGCGCTATCCGCACAATTGTTAAAAAATAACATTCATTATTCAACAGTTTAATTACAAATAAAGTACTAACATAAGTACTATGTTGTTGATAACACATGTTTTGTATACATGTTGTCAATTTACCAAGCGATTTTATATCCATCCATGTAGACGACATGATCGTTGCAGGTGTGCATTATAGGTATCACATGTAAGCATGGAAACACATATAATACTATTAGCTTAGTAGGAACGAAGGCCTACGATGCATGTCAGGAAGGTTTTTTTAAACCAGGCTCATTTTGTTTTTGAATGTCTAAATTTGAAAAAAATCTATGTTCCCAGAAAATCAAGGGTTCCCACGTTGTCCAAATTCAAGATGGCCGCCAAGATGGCCGCCAAAAATTTAAGAAAATACCATTTTTACTTAAAATACAAATACAACACTTCATTTTCACATTTTAAATTCATTTATTCATCAAGATGATCGGAATTACATAGAATTCCTGATATATAAGCAATTTTTTTACTTTAAAAAGCATAACTTTTTTGAAAATTGCCTTAAAATATGCTTAAAAAGGGTAAAAAACGTGTTTTTTTTTTTGCATTTGGCTGGTTCCAATTCGGCTCAGAAAATTATTTAACCTCTTATACAATATTTTTTCACATTTTTTTACAGATACATGATAAAGAATTTGAAAAAAAATATTTAAGTCTAGATAAAAAGTTAAATTTTAGTTTAAGGGACTATTTAAGTGGGTGGGGTAAGTGCCATCCATTTTGTGAAAAATACGCCATGTACTTAAAATACATCAAAAAGTATATAGGTCTTCTACAGCAATTTCTATGCATGGTTTTAATCATTCTTGAGATTTCCTAATCTATTTTTTAGTAATTAAAGGGTGCAAACTTATTTTTTCACACATTAAGGTGAACTTTTTGCCTTAAAAATGGCCGAAAATTTCATTTTTTAATGAAAAGCCCATCTCAATCTTACCTTAAAATTGCATAAATGCTCATTAAATTGTTGAGTTTATCTTTAATCATCAAAATACAATAGCATACAAAGATATAAATATTTTTAAAAAGTACAGATGTCAGATTTAACAAAGTGCAGCATAAAAAGTGGGTGGGGTAATTACATACAATTACATGAAAAAAGTCAAAACCTGCATAATTATATATACAAGTTATGGAAGTCTTCTCTGTCAATTCCAAAACATTATTTATCTTTCTTGTGACATTTCCATATTTTCTCAGTAATTTATTAGAAGTAACAATTTTTTTTTAAAACTTAAGGTTAACGTTTTGCAGCAAAATTGGCAAAAACACATTTTTATGGTAAATGTCTCTTAATCGCGGGAACGACTTATTTCTTAATTTACCGTAACTCTCAAAATGTTCTTCCATATATCGTCCAATGTGAACATACAACAATAAAATGAAGAAAAGACATTCTTAAGACATTCTTAAACAACAGAATATGTCACATTTAACTGTTCACAATGCCCATCTCTAAAAAGTGGGTGGGGCAATAATCACCAATGAAATAAATACATAGATACACAGTTATTCTCGAACAATTCACAATGATGCTTTTGACCATTAGTTAACATGTTTGTATACTTTAGTATTAATAGTGCGAGGGATATTATACAAACTACATTTTCCTCATTTCGTTTTGTGAGGATTTAGGAACTTATCAATTTACGTGAACTTTTTAATAATTAAATGTAATGTTGACACATTGTAAAAAAAATAATAGAAAATACCCTCAGTTGCATTATATAATTACATTCATGGGGATCAAAATCTATTTCTGAAACGTTCGGATTATAACTATAGTAATTAATATCAGTAAGATGTTGACTCAGCATAACACAATATCTTACAAATACACTGAGTAGAAACAAAGAATTCATTAACGTGCCATACATTCTGATTATGACAGCTATATTCATTCGTCTGAAAAGACAGACAATAAATACAAATCCACAGATTTATAAAAACACAATCAACTCAATTGGAAGTATAACTATCACCAATCATCTCACTACATAACTAATCTCCCACAAAAGTTTACGGTTACTGAATGTCACTCATCATCATCTGACACTGAAATTTCTAGACAACCATCATCATCTTCTTCTTCCATCTCTGCTTGAACATTTTCGACTAGGTCAACTAACGTTGGTGGAAGAATGGGACCCTCAGCCCACAATGGTTCTAACACTTCGTTTCTTTTTGGTCCACCCTTGCCCTTCATCATGTGGTTCCGGATGTTCTATCACTGGTGTATGAGCATTTTTCAAGATGCCGAGACGATGGTTGACTCTTCTGATGTGTTGGCATAAATTATCCTGGCAAGGTGGCAGTTTGGATAATTCCACCTTTGACTTCATGGTCAGCTGTTCGTCGTCTCCTACCATTTTCTTCAAAAGAACTGCCCTACATGTGTTCACAGACCTCTCCCTTGGACACCCATACATCACACAGACAAACGCTTCTAACATCTGCATAACATCTTCTTCAACTGTCCAAGTATCACCCAGCATCCTACAGACATATCAGTTAAAAATAATGACTATTATACTTTTATTTACTGTCATAATTTGTTAGAAATGTGTTACTGTTTCAGACAATTCATTTTTTTAATCAGTTACAAACATTTTACCTGAATGTTTTGTGGTATTTAGGATTACTCTGCAGCTTTCTGAGCGGTGTGACCTTTCCCTTGCCCTTAAATGCACTTGTGACATCTTCACCGGTGAACACATGCAGTCCTAGTAGAGTCTCACTGTATTCAGCACCTTGTGAGTCTGCCAGCTCACTAATATTCACCACCTAAGATGACAAAGTAGTTTATGCATTCAAAAGTTAAATATGTATTGAAATTTAATTTATTTTAAGTTTTAATTCTTGGTATATTATATATACATTCTGTTAGATTAAAAAAAGTATATACTGTTGGAATAATTACTTGGTACATTAATGAAATTCAGTAACTAGAAATTAAAGATAGGTTTAATGCATGGTATATATTTTTACCTGTCTCTGTTTTCCTGTACCAACGTCGAGATAAACTGTCAGTGGTACAGACTGTGCATGGAACAAGGTAATGAAGAATAAGTCAGAGTCGGGTGTACGCACAATAGCTGACTGGTAGCCAATCGTTGATGCGTAGTGCATGTACAAAACTACTCTGGTATCTGTCTCTTCTTGGTTGGACACTAAACTGAAGATCTCCTCCGTTCTCACCTGAAGCAAACGAAAACAAAACGACCACTAGATTTTTGCCTGGATAAAATATTTTTTGTATACAATAACTAAAATATTAGTAGGTAACATTACAATTTATGTAGACTGTGGTATAAAGCTTAACATTATTGTAACTTACATCACCATTTGTCTTTTTTAACTGGTAAGCCTTCCACCAACGACCACCACTGCTGTTCCACATCGATCTAGTCTGGATGCTGCTGACTCACTGCCCCAAACACGCAGAATAAGATTGCATAATTGTGTCTTATTGTCATCGTTGGATAGGAATTCTTTAAAGTCCGCTGGTCTACGGGTTGCAGGTCCATCAACGATGAATTTTCGACTGCAGCCTCTGCGCACTCTCTCCTGTGCCTTTATAGAGTTCGGGAAGTAGCTGTCCGTCGAAAAAATAAAGTTCTTCCTTGCAACCATGATGTCCAGAATCTGCAGACATATTCCGCCAAACGTTGGTGCAAGGTTTGTAAGCTCATGAAAGAGAGCATTACCATCTTGGATGTAAATGGTGGATTCTGAAGGAGTTGTCGCTTGTGGCACATCCTGCAATATGGCATTCATTAAAGCCGCTTTCGTATGCAACCACTTGTTACTAATCCAGCCTCGATCAGTATCTCTCCATACCCTGACCCGGCACACTTGTTCTTGGTGACCATGCCAATGTAGTTCATGGCGGTGTGGAAGGCTCCTGGCGTGATCACATGGTATTTGTACCGTTCTGGATACTTCCATATCAAAGGGAGTGCCTTCATGCATCCTCCTAGGTCGAAAGTTGAAAGAACATACTTCTGTCCAACCTCTTTGGTAGCCTGCTCCGACTGTTCAAGAAGCGCTTCAATGACAGCGTAGTCTGTAAATGGCTGATCAATGGGTGTAAAGTAGTCAATGGTAGACTTCCGTGAAGGTTGCAATCCAGTACTCGAAATGAATCCACCAAATCCTGGAACTGACTGCTCATCTGCACTGCTTCCAACAACCCTGGATAAAAACCAAATTCTGTATTCCAGAAGGGCTTTTAGGTACATGTCATGGTTCTCATGTGGTGTTGTGAACACAGCTTCCCTTGGAAATGTTGGTCCGCACCGTTTGGTCAATGCAGTGGGTGGTAGACATTCTTGTTCATCAACCTTTAGAGACCGAGCCTTTGTGCGCTGGTAGACCCCGAGAGTGCGCTCAGAACTTGTAGCACAATATCCAGGCTTCAATTCTTGGATCATAATGCCTGCAGTACTATTTACCACATTGGAACCATGGATATTTGTGGTTATCTTATTCAGATTGTCCCATTCAACATGGAAGACTTCATTTCCAGGGCCCGTCACAATAAGTGGTGTGAGTTTGGATGAAGAATCATTCAGTGCTTTAGCTAGGGATGTCTCAAGCTCTAAACTATAATCATATGATTCACTGTGACCCAACCGACTTAACATGGTAGTGAGGATCTTGCTTCGATAGAGATGTCGTACTGTTGTGCTCAGCAAAATATGCTTCGGCATCTTCCATTCGCCATTCGTAACAGCGCGGCAAATGTCCTGAAATAAAACAAATAATTTGTTATTAAAAATTACTTTGAGAATGATATTTAACTTGTTTCGTATACATGAGGCTTGATACTAGTCAAGGGTTTGAATCTTCTTGTTGGGCTTTTTTTGGAATCTCAAATGGTCACCAGTACTGTTTAATTTTCTTAAAATTATTTTTTAATATTATCAAACAGACTTCAAATTAATGCTCATGAATCAACTCGAACACTACATTTAAAAGGTGTCTCCCCTGTTTGTACTCTCATTTTTTTGGTTTGAAGTTCCTATTGAACTTTACTACATGCAATATTACAATTCAAGGCAAGAGCAATGATTTTCCCTTTTCTACATATTTGAACTTAAAGGAAACAAAAACAGGTATCAGTTTGGTTGCTGTAACTGAATGGTTTGGCCCTGGTATGTTATTGCTTGCCTGTCTATTGCTATTATGAAGTCAAAATAAAATAAAATTGTTAAAAATAAATTTAATTTAATTCATATTTATTGACACTGTCCTTATTGGTATGCTGGAAAAAAATACCTGAGCTATTGATAGGACGATTCGTCTTGTCTTTTCAGTCCCCGCAGAATCTCCACATACGAGTTGTGTCAGAAATGTTTGAAGTGCATCTGGGACCAATTCCTCCGGAGGAAAAGCGTCAAGGTCATCGGCAGTGGGTGGCCATGGCAGCGGTTTTGACACTGTATATGCCTGTTTTCACACTTTTCCTGAGATAAGTAGCTACTTCCTCTTTAACTGAACTTGATCCCAACTTGAAACCACTGGCAATTGCTTCTGGCACAGTCATGTCGGCACTAAATACCACACTATGCATAATGCAACCAGCACCTTTCTGTTTTTAGTGAAAGCAATTTTTTGTCCAATAGGATCGACTGCAACCACACTTTCAAGGTTCTATTGTTGTAATTTATATTGGGGAAGCCATTGTTATGCATTTCGGTTATGTACAAGTTCCTAACCGAGGCTAGAGGAATTACTTCCTTTTGTACAACCACTTTTTGTGAAATCATATCACGTACCGACTGTTGGGGCAAGGTTTTCTGACGTGTGGGAATTTTTAACTGAACCCCCATACTTTGGCGCTTAGAAAGGTTAAACACTTTCAATTCAAAATCCTTCCGACATGAAGTATGAAACATTGCCTCTCTGGCCACCAAGTCTTCACCTTGTACTAATCGATATAAGGCAAAATCGCCCACCTCAAAAGCCTGCGACTCAATTTGTTGCCATGTTGTGTTTGTGAATTGAACACACCGCTCTGTATTGCATGTTTCTTTGGTTTCACTTCCAACTTTTTTTACAGAAGATGCATTTCTGGTGAAAACTGATTACTACAGTTAGCAAAAATTCTTGTGAATGGTGTTTTTTGAGATGTTTTGTACATTCTGCTTTACTTAACCTATCTAGGTTTTTGGTTTTAAAGGCCTGGTAGCACCCACGGTTGGTAACCAGTGATGTTCAGGTCTATTCCACATAATGAGGCAGGAATGCTCTTGCATATGTCATGCATGCGATGTGGTGAGTCAACATGGTTCAGCTTTAATCGCTTTTGCGGAATTGAGTGCAGCTGATCTAGTTTTTGTTCAGCAGAGACTTTTAAATTTTGTTTAGAATTTAGTGTTACACAGTCACCATGATTGCTAAGTCCACTGTTGTGAATAATGCACCTAAAGTCTGTGGGTATATTCAGCTGCTCGTCGTACTTCCGTTTTTTACTATTGGACATTTTCTCATTTGTTTAATATTTAACACTACACGTCATTGATGATGAAGGCATTCCACATATCTAAAAAACAAAAATTATTTTTTACTTAGGAAATTCAAAAATAAAATCCAAAATAAACGTATTTTAATCATTGAATACATTGAATACAAAGTTAAATTAGTTTTGTGACACTGTTAAGTATAGTAATTAGCATTGTGGACTTAAATTGCACCTGTTTCGTGGTAAAAACAATTATTTCTACAAATTTAATGCATAAAGAATTTTATTTCAATGCACATTTTTCACATTTCTAATAAATTATTAAAACTGTCTGAGAGCGAGACAACATCAACCAAACCCACACTTCCAATGGTTGAATTACACTTTTATGTTCAAACTTACTGGTGTATCCACAGCTCAGCTGGCATTAGCTTGGGAACAAGGCCTGTAAGGCAGGGCTCAGTAGTGGAGTATGTGCAGAGTAGTTTTATTTTCTAAAAGCAAAAAAAAAATAGGGAATTTAGGGTTTTATTTTGGTATAAAATAGCAATAATATGTAAATTATCTTTTATTCTTTTATATAAGTCTAATTACTAACACCTCAGGAAAAGAAACCTACAATATTTATATTTGTTACAGTTAAAGAAAAAGTTATTGACATTAACAACACTTTGAAAAAACACAGACCTTCTGGATCATTCTTGTGTTGTTTCATATACGGTACAATAATGCATCTTCATTTTAAGGTCCCCATTTCTGACTAAGCCAAATGAAGTGTCTGAAATAAAGTAATTCTTTGACAGAATGGTTTTCAAGTATGTCAAATATATTTTATACAGTAATATTTGTATAAATTCAATTTCAAATTACTGTTACATTTAAAATATATAAAGAATATGAAATGTCCCACATAAATAGTTTTATTTCATTACCTACATGTACATGCATTGATAAATATAATGATTATATATGTTATATTCAAATAACTTCTATGTTGTAAATGCAATTATTTTATACTTGTTAATAATAATTATCAATGTTTAGGGGGTAATCTAATTTAATAAAAATAACAAGGTACACAACATACCTTCTAAACAGATGAGAATAAATTATAATGCATTTATGGCACGTACCATGTCAACATGGTGGTGCATTGGGACTCTACAGCCACTTGTCAGATTAATTATCAGTATGAATAGCTATCCTCAATCATTGCCTGAAAACAAAAAAAAAAACATGTAAACCTTGACATGATATGTCTTCAAACCCCTTCAGATTGTTAAAGAGGGCAAAAAAACAACATTATCCGGATTATTGTATGCATCCGACTACTACTCAAGTTTTTTAAGAAAAATTAAACAGGGATCCTCTTAGAGAATGTCCATATTTTTACAAAAATGATTATTTATAATACATCATAGCTATAAACATTAAAATACTCAAATATTTTTTACAAATTTGCAGGCATTTCAACGCCTCAAAAGCTTTTGTTTATGTGAAGTTCTGGTGCATTTCTTTCTACATTAAAATGCTGACATTTTATATTAATAAATTTATAAGAAATTCTTTGAGAATTAAAGATTAAATACTGGGCTTTTAATGTTTCATACCTTCTGGTACAATCTACTCTTAAAAATCTGGGCAAATTCGTCCGGTAAATTCGTGGTGTTCTTTCAATGGACAGGAAACTTTCAGTGATTTCATGGCTTTTAATTATATCAAAGGGGGGGTAACTTTCCCTAATTTTTTGAATCTACCCTTTCCCTCAAATAAAAAAGGGGGTTTTTTACTTTTCTTTTTTTTATTCCCAGACAATTTCTAAAAAAGAAATTTCAATGACCAAATTAAAATGTTTTGTTTTATAATAAAAAATCTTAAAATATATAGAAATAAATTTTTATATATTTTCATCATTATTATTCGGTAAAATTTTTGGGTATTTTTTAGGGGAATTTCCCGACTTATATTTAGAGTCCCCTTTAAAATTATTTTTTTCCTTTCATTTTCTGAACTTTTTTGTTTTTTTTTTACTTGGGGCAAATTTATTCTGTAAAATTTAAAAGTGAAAAAATTTTAGTTTAAAAGGGAAAAAAAAGTTTCTGAGCCGAATTTGGAAGCAGGGGCCAGATGCCAAAAAAGACACGTTTTTTTACCCCCTTTTTGGGCATATTTTAAGGCATTTTTTCAAAAAGTTACGCTTTTTTTTTATAGTGAAACTTTGCTTATATATGCCGAAATTTCTACGCGGTTCCGGCATCATTTTGATAAAAAAATGAAATTCAAACGGTGAAAAAAGAAGTTGTGTATTTGTAATTTTTTAAGCAAAAATGGTATTTTCTTTAAATTTTTGGCGGCCATCTTGGCGGGCATCTTTGTTTCGGAGTGGGGGAACCCTTGATTTTCTGGGAACATAGATTTTTTTCAAATTTTAGGACATTCAAGAACATAAATCCTGGAAATTTCATCTGGCATTCGTTCCTACTAAGCTATATTTCTTGCATATCAGACTGGCGTTTCCCCATTCCGGTTCCATCTGGCATGGGGGGGGGGGTTTCCCAGGTGAGTCGCGTGCTGTACAATAGCACGATAAAGATGACGTCATTTTACCGTTATGAATGATTTTGTAATTCATACGCTGTTGAATGAAAGTAGTTACGGTTGTAATGATATAAATTTTCATTGAAAATAAAGATAAAGAATTTAAAATATAATGGAATATGGTAGAATATGCAAGAAAAAATATCTGACATATGTTTGATATTCCGATCCGAACCGCAAAATATGACAGATATTATTATTCTCACACATGACTGCATTATTCCTCATACTCCTTCGTTGTTTTTATAGGGCAATATCTGGAAAAAAATGATCTCTCGGAATCATTTAAAACAGCAAAATTACATGAAAATTGCAGACTCGCTTTGATTGAGTCTGTACATGATTTAGCCTATCTACAAATCAATTTATTACAATTATAACAATAGTCATTTTATGTCTGTGTACTAAATGTGCAAATAGCATACCGGTATTAGTTTTATAATAAAATCAGGATCAGATTCAAAAAACTATTTAGTCATGCAGCATAATAAAGTACACTTATTAATGTCATTGTTCTTTCAAAATGAAAAAAAGCAATATTCCCAGAATATTTATAATATATCAGCAGAAAATATTGACAAAAGTTCACGATGTCTCTGCAAAATATCCCTAATACATAGATAAAAGCAGCATTTAGTGATAACGTACTTTATTTGAAGTATGTCTGTCTGTAAGGCCTCAAGCCGTTTGTATTGTCTAGAATAGGATAATGTGTCTATAAAACTTGCCTTTCACGGAAACATTACTTCTAGCGTGTTTACTTCCTGGATTGATAAGATACAAGTCAGATCCATCGAATTATTAAAATAATTCTTAGAAATTGCTGTGTTCAAATCCGTATTCAGTGAGCAGAACTTGGTTGGAGGTATGATTGCATTATATATGAGACACAGTTTAATATGGCGTTGACAATAGCTTGTATTTTTCGTTACCGTTCATAAACAAACACAATCCGAGCCTGCGATAATTGAAATTTTGCCGTTTTGGGCGTTTTAGGTATTCTGTTGTTTTGGTGTTTTGTTTTGTTGTTTTTTTTTGTTGTTTTTTTTTTATTTTCCTATAATTTGCTAAAATAAAAAGTAAAAATGCATACAAATTTAGCAAATAAAATAATAGGTTATTTAGGCACATATCTTCTGCTTAAATTTTTGTTTTAATTTAGAAAAAAAATAACTTCAAAAATGCTTTTATGAAAGAAATATGGAAGAAGGTTGTCTTAAACGTGCATGACGCATGAACGAAATCGATGCTAAACGGTTAAAGTCAAAACTTAAAACCCTTCTTAAAAACAGCAATATTTTTATGTTAACGTAAGTGAAATAACAGAGACTTTCTCGATTACAACTTTTTCTAGAATACACCAAATGATTATGGATACATAAAAAT